ACTGTTAATTACAATGCCAATTTTTACTAATCCATTAGTTTCGAAGAGCTGGATGTTGGCAGTGACGAAATAAACGCCACGCTTTGGAACACCGAATCGATCTGTGGTCTGATGAATAGAGCCCACTTGAAACTGCCCGTTGAAGCCAGCGATTTTCCAACTGACGAGTTCTTTCCACCCGCTGGTAGTGAAAGTGATATCACTATATCGGTCCGCCATGTTTCCTTCTGTTTTACCGCTCTCAGATATAAAACGCATGCTGAAATAGCTGCCTTCAGTAATTTTGAGAGAAGACGAGTTATCTGATCTTAACATCACACTAACCATCGTGCCTTGCAACAGTTTCATGCTGCCGGTGGCCACAATAACTGCTCTTGTGCCTCTCTTAACGAAATGACTCGACTCCAGTCCATTATTAACAGACGTGTCCCCGTTAACGGAAATCTTTACATAAGCATTCGCAGAAGTTTGGATGTTTTCAATCGCCACACTTGTTGAAGCTAAATAAATTCCTGATAAAGGAACAATGAAGTTACCCGCTAGTGAGCTGAAGCCGTGACCATCAATATGAAGGCCGCTACCTCCGGATGTCTCCCATGCAGTTATTTTCTCCCATCTTGAAGCTTGTCCATTTACTGGATGTAGAGCAGTTATTCGGGCATAAAATCCAGGTTCTTCGATTGGGTAAATAAGGCGTGAAACTGACCAGCCGCTGCCTTCCCACACAGTGAATGGGTTAGCACTGCCAGACCGCACAGCCACGTGGATCTTTCGATTCCTATGCAGGAAAAGAGCGCCAGTGAATAACAAGGTGTATTTTCCACTTGCGTAAGGTTTTTGTTCAACGGCCGAGAACCCAGCGTCAAGGTCTTGAGTTCCCCCTCCATTGCTATCGGACACACGAACAGTCACGTCACAAGACTCTGGGGTGTTTGATACAATGACATTGGCTGATAAGAAATAAATTCCAGCATGATTTATTTTCAAGTCTCCACTAAGTGCATCGTAAGTAAAACTGCCATCGTTTTTAAGGAATAGTCCGTTAGTCAGATCAGACTGGGTTGCCCAGCCACCGATCTTGGACCAACTTCCCGAACCAAAGCTTTTTATTCTTGTATCACTTTTCCGGGACAAAAATCCCACATTCCCATACGGAATATCAGATGGACTCACTAAAAACATTGAAAAGCTACTGGTGCTGTCCACTTTCCAATCAAAATCCATATTTGCGCGAGCGCGTATCACAGTGTAGTCTCCACGCCTCAGCTGCACAATACCTGAAACTGAGACGCTCATGACGTCATTTCCGGTAGGTGAGTTAGTACCTTGAATGTAACGAGTATTTTGCAGACCATTAGTAAGAGATGCTTGACCGTTAACGCCAATGTACACTTCCAAAGAAGAACCCGAATTGTTTACATCGACATCCCGGGTGACAAGCATACACGAAGCAAAGTAGATACCACTGACCGGGGCAAGATAAATACCGCGACCGCTATCAAGACCAGCCCCATTTTGAAAAGTAAATGTTTGTCTCTCTCCAGGCTTTTGCCACTCATCAATTTCAACCCAGTTGATTGTTCTTATTGTTGTTTGGGTGCCTTTAACAACATGGAAGCTTGGGACTGCGAAAGATTTACCGATGAAAACGGTGGAAAATCCGCTCCTTTCCAAGACTTCCCAAGTGTCATTGCTTTCCGAGCGAACGTAGACCGATACTTCTTGACCCTGTGCAAGATTAAGTGAGCCTGCAATATTAAGGGTTGAGGTGGCCGGCGGGTATGTAAGAGTTGCATGTAAGCCGTTATCTTTGTTAGCTTCTCCATCGATAGCGATTACCGCCGAAATTTGAGTACCATTAGTACGCATGATCAGATTTGTAGAAACAAAATAAACCCCAGGGGATGTGATGACAAAGCGGGAACTGCTTGAGTTAAAATTTGTCCCAAATGAGAAAGCACCCTCCTCAGTTTGTCTCCAGTTTCCAATCTCTTCCCATTTGCCGGCTGTAGTCCTATGGTAGCTGTCAAGATAACTATTTGCCGCTGGCCAGTAGTACCGTGTTTTCATAATAGACAGTCTGCTGTCTGGGTCAACAAGCCATTTGTCAGGAAGACTTGAATGAACAAAAACCGACACATGTTGCCCCTTGCTGAGCTCCAAGAGACCTGAGACTGACAAGGAAAAGTACCCGGTTTGTTCAGAATTGTAGCGTGTCGTGTACAGACCGGCGTTACCATTCAATTGTGAGGTACCACTTGATTTGACTAACAAGTCAAAAGTTCCTCTACTACCTCGTACTCGCAGGGAAACCTAGAAAACAAACTTTGTTACCAAACTAGTCATAGTTGATTCTTTTTAATTTAGATTACCTTAATGAAATGCTTTTTAACCAGTCTTTTTAATCTAAATACTGCTTTTTCTATCTGAAGCAATCAATTTAAAAAAAAAAACGGTTTATTGCACATTACTAAAGACAATAAACCATATTCGCTGAAACAAACTGAGACTGGCTTTTCACTTCGCATTTCATTTCTTTTCATTAACTTTTTAAATTGTGTTGTAACTTTGGTTTAAGATTTAAACTAACATTTTGGACAAATCCAGAAACAAAATCTACTAATAAAGCTGTGGTTATTGAAGATCAGAAGAACAAACTCTCGACAGGAAATTAAATAACTTACAGATACATAGTATATCCCTCCCTGACTGCAGGTGAACCTTCCATTCTGAAACACTTCCGGGTTGTAGAACTGGACATGCGCAATAGAAGGTTTAGACCAGGTAGTTATTTCCATCCAACCAATACCTGGAATTTTATTGGTTGTTTCAGTGACTGTAGACAAACCTTGAAGGGAGCTCTGATTAAAGGCATCGACGTAACTAGCAGAAAAACCGCTGTTTGAGTGTATTGTTAAGCTTGCATCCGAACCTGAAGAGTTGATTGTAAGTGCTACAGTTTCTCCTGCTTTGAAGTAGAATGATCCGTGGAGGTTCATAGTGAAAATACTGTCAGAGATAACTACGTTTTCATCGTAATACGGACCAAGACTTTCACCATTGACTGATAAATACAACTTATACAAACCAGGTCTGGCCTGTGCACGTATATTTGCAGCCACGAAATATATACCGTCGCAAATTGGGACAAACTCACCAATGGATGAGGAAAATCGCGCGAGGCTGACAAATAACCCGACAGAACCACTTGTCTNAGGTTGTCGAAACGTCAGTTACCAACAACAGTTCTTTTCAGAACTACACTCACCCGGACGATCACACTATACGAACTTAGCGATTTCTGCTAACCCAGTGAAGGTTTTTAATTGCTTCGCGAAGTTGAACAGGTCTTTGTGTTCGTCACCGCTTAGCGCCTCGCCGAGGTTGTGGCGCTGGAACTAGTATCGTCGGTGGTCGCAAGATAAAATGAGACCAAATCTCTTACTGCAGCAGAGCTGGCATCACTATTTGCCATTTCTAGGGCCATCTAGCGGTTAAGGTGTTGAAAAAATCCCCTCAAGATTACAATAAATGTGAACCTGTGAAGAGACTGAAGAGCTTGAGCAACTGAGTCAATTTAGCATCGAGTCAATAACCACGTGCACTTTTCTGGCATCTGGTTTAATTAAATGCCCTCTGACAGTTTCACTATTAGGTAACTATTAACCAGACACAATCTATAGTTTGGTTTGAAAGGGGACACCACTTAGCGCTCGCCTGGTTGATTCTCTTTGGCCGCTAGTACGTTTATTTAGGTCGTGAGGATTTCCCAAATTCCCGACAGACAGGCGAAAAAAATCCCGCATCCTGTGCCTAAATTTTGACTAGACCCGCTTCCCGGGGAGCAGCCAAATCCCAGGTCCCGTCAAGATATTTATCGTTTTCCCGATTCCCGCACCGTATTTTGGACAAATCCCGGATCCCGAGAATACCCTTCCAGACCCTCTGCAGATAAAAGAAAATCTAATGCATTTGCTGGGTTGACAAGATATACATGTCAATTCTCTATACCGTTCTTGAAACATTTTCTAAGTTTCTTTTTCAAGAGAATTTACTTTAAGAACAACTCGTCTTTTTTGAGATTATCAGGTCCTTTTTTTGACGATCCGCCGCCACTGTTTTCCTTTTGCTTTGTTAAATCTTCCATATATCTTTTTGGACTTACCGTACACAGTCAAACGTGCAATATTTGAACTGACGGATACAGGAGACACCTCAGCAACGCATGCGTAGTCTCCACTGTCATGCACTGTTCCATTGATGATAGTTAAGGAGTTGGAAGACACGTTGGGCAAAGCCTAACAAACCATTTGAAAGTATTTTGTTTAATCAGTGTGGCTTTCTGCAAATGCTGTTTTTAATATGATCGCTTCATCACAAGAAAGATTGAAGTAATATATCAAACACGAAAGACCGTGTTTGACCACATTCCAAACACCGAGAAGAGAGTTCAAAATACGACACGCAGTGGAGTATTTTTTTACGAGTATCGAGGTGTTTGGAAATGTGGTCAAACACTGTCTTGCGTGTTTTATATATCTTGTCAATCAAAACTAAACCTAAGTAGAAAACGGAGAAATAAATCTTAAAAATTTAAGCTAATTAAGATCAGATATCCAAACACCGTTATGGTTTCATTTTTAAAACTTGATAAATTATAAATGAGTTTGAGAATGTTATTTGGCAAATGACCTGCTTACAATCGCACTCATAGGGATGAGAAAATTAAAGATTCTGGCTAAATCATATAAGTAACTCTAGTGATCATCAGTGAACATATGCAGACAATTCAAAGAGGAAATAAAGACATAAACTTTTCTTTAACGCTTTCAACTAGGCGAAGGGATTAGAAATCGTACATGGTAGGTTTTATGTGTTTCTTGTTTTCCAACAGATAGAGACTAACATGCATGCACATTTTGATATCAGAAGACCGTTTTATGAAGACCGCTCATAAAATTGTTAACTACTGGTAAGCCATCGTGCATGTAATGAATCTTTTAAGTCACCTTGTAGTCTTTTGACCAGCGGTATTTAGGTAAACTTTCCCCGACAGCCTCACATGACCACGTGACAGAATTACCAACCCTTGCGCGGAGATAAGCAGGCGACAGTTCCTGAATGAGAGTAGGACCCTTGTTGGAACACAAGAATGGACCCCCGGCAGAAGCTATAGTGGATGCGCAGAGTGAATAGTGAGAGCAGGTAACAATCTTTTTGTGGAGGTAACACAACTTTACATTTACTGAACTTATCAACGTATATGTGGGAAATTTAACCGTGTTTTTTGTGTATATGCGATGTAAGACTATCACTCTTGTCTCATTTTGTCAGCTTTGCTACCGGTCTGTACGCACAAAACTAAAACGTCAAATGTTGAAATTCTTGTTTCTTTGGTTTTAAGGACAGTGCCACATTTTAGAAGTACAATGAAGTCTGATAAAACAACAAATATTCTGAAAATTGTCTTTGCTCTGGTAAAGATATTGACCGTACTTTTTCAGGTGTATGACAATTCTCTAAAATATAGTGAATTCCGGCTTGTCACTGTCTTAAAAATGTGAGACATGTGAGAGAGAAATTACTTTTTAGTAACTGAAAGAATTTTTTGACTCTATTACAGCCTCCTAAACACCAACCTAAACACAAGGAGTTCCAGCTTGTAATACAACAGACTTACCATGCATGACAACTGAGAATGTGCTGTCCTCGAGGATTTCATAGGATGTATCCGAGCGCAAAACTACTGTGAGTGTATCCCATTTAAACAGTTGAACTACGGTCATTATGTTCAGCGTGTCAACACTTAAAGAAGAGACAGTCTGCCTTGAATACAAACCAGAACTGGACGACAGCCTCCCATTAAAAGCCACTAGCATTTCAAAGTCACTATCAAACCAAAAGAATTTTTAAAAGTTCATATATCGTTAAGAGCTGGTCCATAACCTGCAACTGGTTGTACGCAATGATTCGCAAAATTTCATTTGAACGTCCTTGTCATAGAAAAGTCTCTAATGACGTATCCAATGAGGGATCTCCCAAATTTGCTCCCTGTTCCCAACCTCGATCCCAAGCTCTCTCTCCTTTGGCTCCCATGGGAAAGGAGAAAGAGCCTGGAAACGAGGTTGCCCTGTTCTGGCAGTATAATTATGCAACTGAAAAGGGTATCAAAAGTTTTTTGACACTCACGACATTTGTCATAGATATCTTTTTCATCTAACAAGGGTTTTCAAACGTAGAACGTATTTTTCTGCCGTCTATCATTGTTGCTTGATTAATATATGACTAGATGAAAATAAGCATAATGAAGCACTTACCATCCAATGATGTCTGTGCAATTTAGAATCCAATTCACAGTTACAATGTAAACACCTGTCGTGGAAACAACAAAGGCCCCATTTTTAGAAAATCCACTTATGGTCTGGAAATAACCAGGACGCCCGGTTATATTCCAGTTTGTAACTCGGAACCAATCAGAAAGTTGTCGGCCACCGACGGAAATGTTCGATGAGACACGAGCAAGAAATCCTTGAACAACAGTGGACGGTGAGACTGGGCTGAATAATAAATTAGACTTGCTTGATTGGCTTGAGACTGTCCAGTGGTCTTCATCATTCGAATACACGTACACTGATACAAACGTTGCCTCCTCGAGTTCTAAAGACGCGGCGAGATTTAATGAGCAAATCTCCCACGCGACGCATGTTTTCTTAGCTACAACCGCTGTGTCATTTGCACTGTTAATTACAATGCCAATTTTTACTAATCCATTAGTTTCGAAGAGCTGGATGTTGGCAGTGACGAAATAAACGCCACGCTTTGGAACACCGAATCGATCTGTGGTCTGATGAATAGAGCCCACTTGAAACTGCCCGTTGAAGCCAGCGATTTTCCAACTGACGAGTTCTTTCCACCCGCTGGTAGTGAAAGTGATATCACTATATCGGTCCGCCATGTTTCCTTCTGTTTTACCGCTCTCAGATATAAAACGCATGCTGAAATAGCTGCCTTCAGTAATTTTGAGAGAAGACGAGTTATCTGATCTTAACATCACACTAACCATCGTGCCTTGCAACAGTTTCATGCTGCCGGTGGCCACAATAACTGCTCTTGTGCCTCTCTTAACGAAATGACTCGACTCCAGTCCATTATTAACAGACGTGTCCCCGTTAACGGAAATCTTTACATAAGCATTCGCAGAAGTTTGGATGTTTTCAATCGCCACACTTGTTGAAGCTAAATAAATTCCTGATAAAGGAACAATGAAGTTACCCGCTAGTGAGCTGAAGCCGTGACCATCAATATGAAGGCCGCTACCTCCGGATGTCTCCCATGCAGTTATTTTCTCCCATCTTGAAGCTTGTCCATTTACTGGATGTAGAGCAGTTATTCGGGCATAAAATCCAGGTTCTTCGATTGGGTAAATAAGGCGTGAAACTGACCAGCCGCTGCCTTCCCACACAGTGAATGGGTTAGCACTGCCAGACCGCACAGCCACGTGGATCTTTCGATTCCTATGCAGGAAAAGAGCGCCAGTGAATAACAAGGTGTATTTTCCACTTGCGTAAGGTTTTTGTTCAACGGCCGAGAACCCAGCGTCAAGGTCTTGAGTTCCCCCTCCATTGCTATCGGACACACGAACAGTCACGTCACAAGACTCTGGGGTGTTTGATACAATGACATTGGCTGATAAGAAATAAATTCCAGCATGATTTATTTTCAAGTCTCCACTAAGTGCATCGTAAGTAAAACTGCCATCGTTTTTAAGGAATAGTCCGTTAGTCAGATCAGACTGGGTTGCCCAGCCACCGATCTTGGACCAACTTCCCGAACCAAAGCTTTTTATTCTTGTATCACTTTTCCGGGACAAAAATCCCACATTCCCATACGGAATATCAGATGGACTCACTAAAAACATTGAAAAGCTACTGGTGCTGTCCACTTTCCAATCAAAATCCATATTTGCGCGAGCGCGTATCACAGTGTAGTCTCCACGCCTCAGCTGCACAATACCTGAAACTGAGACGCTCATGACGTCATTTCCGGTAGGTGAGTTAGTACCTTGAATGTAACGAGTATTTTGCAGACCATTAGTAAGAGATGCTTGACCGTTAACGCCAATGTACACTTCCAAAGAAGAACCCGAATTGTTTACATCGACATCCCGGGTGACAAGCATACACGAAGCAAAGTAGATACCACTGACCGGGGCAAGATAAATACCGCGACCGCTATCAAGACCAGCCCCATTTTGAAAAGTAAATGTTTGTCTCTCTCCAGGCTTTTGCCACTCATCAATTTCAACCCAGTTGATTGTTCTTATTGTTGTTTGGGTGCCTTTAACAACATGGAAGCTTGGGACTGCGAAAGATTTACCGATGAAAACGGTGGAAAATCCGCTCCTTTCCAAGACTTCCCAAGTGTCATTGCTTTCCGAGCGAACGTAGACCGATACTTCTTGACCCTGTGCAAGATTAAGTGAGCCTGCAATATTAAGGGTTGAGGTGGCCGGCGGGTATGTAAGAGTTGCATGTAAGCCGTTATCTTTGTTAGCTTCTCCATCGATAGCGATTACCGCCGAAATTTGAGTACCATTAGTACGCATGATCAGATTTGTAGAAACAAAATAAACCCCAGGGGATGTGATGACAAAGCGGGAACTGCTTGAGTTAAAATTTGTCCCAAATGAGAAAGCACCCTCCTCAGTTTGTCTCCAGTTTCCAATCTCTTCCCATTTGCCGGCTGTAGTCCTATGGTAGCTGTCAAGATAACTATTTGCCGCTGGCCAGTAGTACCGTGTTTTCATAATAGACAGTCTGCTGTCTGGGTCAACAAGCCATTTGTCAGGAAGACTTGAATGAACAAAAACCGACACATGTTGCCCCTTGCTGAGCTCCAAGAGACCTGAGACTGACAAGGAAAAGTACCCGGTTTGTTCAGAATTGTAGCGTGTCGTGTACAGACCGGCGTTACCATTCAATTGTGAGGTACCACTTGATTTGACTAACAAGTCAAAAGTTCCTCTACTACCTCGTACTCGCAGGGAAACCTAGAAAACAAACTTTGTTACCAAACTAGTCATAGTTGATTCTTTTTAATTTAGATTACCTTAATGAAATGCTTTTTAACCAGTCTTTTTAATCTAAATACTGCTTTTTCTATCTGAAGCAATCAATTTAAAAAAAAAAACGGTTTATTGCACATTACTAAAGACAATAAACCATATTCGCTGAAACAAACTGAGACTGGCTTTTCACTTCGCATTTCATTTCTTTTCATTAACTTTTTAAATTGTGTTGTAACTTTGGTTTAAGATTTAAACTAACATTTTGGACAAATCCAGAAACAAAATCTACTAATAAAGCTGTGGTTATTGAAGATCAGAAGAACAAACTCTCGACAGGAAATTAAATAACTTACAGATACATAGTATATCCCTCCCTGACTGCAGGTGAACCTTCCATTCTGAAACACTTCCGGGTTGTAGAACTGGACATGCGCAATAGAAGGTTTAGACCAGGTAGTTATTTCCATCCAACCAATACCTGGAATTTTATTGGTTGTTTCAGTGACTGTAGACAAACCTTGAAGGGAGCTCTGATTAAAGGCATCGACGTAACTAGCAGAAAAACCGCTGTTTGAGTGTATTGTTAAGCTTGCATCCGAACCTGAAGAGTTGATTGTAAGTGCTACAGTTTCTCCTGCTTTGAAGTAGAATGATCCGTGGAGGTTCATAGTGAAAATACTGTCAGAGATAACTACGTTTTCATCGTAATACGGACCAAGACTTTCACCATTGACTGATAAATACAACTTATACAAACCAGGTCTGGCCTGTGCACGTATATTTGCAGCCACGAAATATATACCGTCGCAAATTGGGACAAACTCACCAATGGATGAGGAAAATCGCGCGAGGCTGACAAATAACCCGACAGAACCACTTGTCTCCCAATTACGAATGACATTAGAGGATGAAAAGGAATTGAAAGTTGCAGCACTGTGTTTTATGGCGGAAAACGCTGGGAAAAATCCAACAGAGCCAGAATAACGCAGCGAGAACTGACTATCGTCTTCTAAGACCCAATCTGTGTCCTTTTCCGAGTAGACATATACGGAGACATAATCACTTGATCTCAAGTCCATAAATCCGCTGACCACTAAACTGAAGTCGCCTGCCTGGCGGCCATGTTTGACTGCGGTCATTGCCTTGTTACTCTTGTCTATTTGTCCATTTATAATCAAAGCCGCTTGAAATACTCCAGTATCTGCTTGAGCTAAATGTACGCTAAATGAAACAAAATAAATTCCAGATTTTGGAATGCTGAATTGTGAAGCTTTATTTCCCAGTGGTGCTCCGCACAGAAAACGACCTGTGACTGAAAGGTGTGTGTCTGTCCACCCAGTCACTTCTGACCACCCACTTGTTGATTGGGGCAGTCGTTCTCTCAGGTCCAGACTGAGACCAATCTCAGGAAACGCTGAAAAGGAAGAAGGTGTTGTGATATAAATAAACCGATTGGACGAAATGTTGAAACCATACCTCACAGTATGGAAGATAAGTGTGAGCTTTTGCCTAAAGTTAAGTTTACATTTATTTTATTTGTACTAAACGAGGGGTCATATTGGAACAATATTGCTCCGATGTCTTGACAGTACAGGGGCTAATATTTAGTACAGTTTCGAGCAAGCTTGGTCAATGGGAGAATAACATCCCACAATCAGCTAGCTTGAAGGTCAGTTAAACTTCAAGCGCACAACTCTGATTGAGAGCTAGGTTGGCATTTACACTCAAGTTGCTTCTTTCCACGTTTTCAGAGGGAGAGACAAAAGAAAATTGGAAGACAAAGAAAAATGATCTTTAGCGGGTAAGTTATTGCTTTTAAAAAAGTTATAAAACTTCAGGAAAACCTACAAGGGTGGTCTCACGGGACCATTCGGGACGGTATACCCAGTCTGTTGGTTAGCAAATTTGGACCGGCAATAAGGCAATCTCTAAACTTAGTTTGATGTCAAATAAATCCATTTTTTATCACTAAAATTCGAGTTCGACCGTAAAGAAGTCTGTTGTGCTTACATTTTTGACGTAGGCCAGGCTACATGGCATGTCGAAAGATGGCATGTCGGAAGATGTCGCCTATGCACGTAACACTGAAAGCGGGTGTAAATTGGCCTTGCTTTCATATTTCACAATGTTTTAGTAGACAATTTATGAATTTCCTGTGAAAAAGGAGCCAGAGTCCCCCTCCCTGCTGGGGCAGATCAAGTGTGCAAGATGCATGCAGCGGGGCTGCGAGGTCGTTGTTTGTGTTTTTTTTTTTTTTTTTTTTGAAGAAAATTCAAAATGGCGGACGAAGATTCACTCGACTGGCTCGAGTGTCTCAGTTGAAGAATTTTTACAAGATTAATATTAATATTGATGCGCAGTCTTTACTCATAAATTTTGGGTTTTAATTGAGGACAAAGTTATTTAGCGACGCTGGTTACGTCGCAAAATTGCACGAAACTGCTTAGGAATCTTACTTTTGTTGTACAATTTACATATTTTTAGTGCATCAGACCAAATAAAGGAAGAGAGCAACAAAATTATTTTTTTTGAGCAACTTGTGACTTTTTCTGAGCAACTTTTTGAGAATTTTCGGGCAAGTTTTTGGGAAACCTCTAGCAATTGCAACTTGTGGTAAGCTCTAGAACTTGATTTTAGTTCATATTGGCTCTCCCAACTAAATCAGTCGTGTAATAAGATGTCTTACTTACCTGTTAAAAGCTTTGCACGAATTTTTACGAATTAAATACTGAAAAAGTTTAATCAAAGTCTATTTACCCGGTATGAGGTGAGTTTTGTTCAAGAGGTGTACTCTCGCATAGTCATTTCTACACACAGGAGTTTTTATGCTTGCAGGATGACCATAAGACAATAAGTCTTGTCTTTACATTATGGCGTCACTTGACGCGCTCTTTGCGGTTCAAAATGGCCGGCGAAACCAGAAAGTGGTTCCTGCTCAAGCTCTTTACGGATGAAATACTGAAGCTGATAGAAAAAAGCAACCAGATTAGGCCACAGAGATCCATGTGGAGGCAGTTCAACGGGAAAGGAAAAAATAAATTATGCCATCATAGAATCCATGAATCACAACCCGTTTCAAACGTTATAGCAAAAGAGTGAAGCTCAAGATAAGAATACTGAATAAAGGGATAATAACACAATTACTGAATTTGGATTTGGAATAATAACGAATTTATCAAGACCTGATAACCAAAATCTTGTATAGTTCTTAATGCAAGAATTTTATCAAACAGTTATCAAATGAGAAGCAACTATGGTTAGCAAAGTAACATATTAGCAAAGTAATCATTAATCAAAATAATCATGATATTCTGTGGCTTTAAAGTAATAAATGACAAGGTAAACAGAAAGCCCTCTTAATTGGAGTGATTGCAATGAAATCTTGAAATTTTGCTGATGCATGCTTTTGTCATAGCACAGGATAAGTTAATATAACGAAGAACAGAATTGCTTTAGAAACAATTATTTGGAAGTACAACTGCATCAGCCTGGACTGTTTCCAAATTCTCGGTAATAGTAATTTGGGACTCAATTCAGCCAAAACCACGATCAGCGTAAAGATATAAATAATATTGATACGGTTTTCATTGTATCAGATATGATTTGCATTGTATCGGAAACCGTAAAAAGCAGCAGATCTCAGTATAAAGTTTTGAATCAGGAAATATTAACAAAACAATTCAAAATTGAACCCACCTGTTAAGTGTGAAAAGTTGCTCACCACAAAAACTAAATACGCGACAAAAATAGATTGCAAATAATTACGATCCATGGTCGTTTTTGTTTTTGTTACAACACCTTTGGTATTTCGCAAACATATTTTGAAGAACTTGAGGCTTTCCTCGATTCATGTTCGACTTCCACCATTATTATTGCAAAGTGTCGAAGGTTTGCTTCGAACGTGTTTTCCGATCTATACAGTGCAGTTGTTTAGCATAAAGATAAGCTGTATTTTATTCTTAAAACAAGACCACTTGCTGATAAGTCTTTAATTCTTATTCATCAAACGTCAAAAAATCTGTACAGGGAGTAGAAAACTCTCACTGAGTCTGAGCTAAGTTATGAAAAACACAAAATTTAACATATCAGCAAATAGTAAATTAACTTGAGGCACTTGACGCTGTTTCTTGGAACAAGAACTAAAAGAATCCAGAAAAAATCCAAAAACATGAAAACCTGAAGGTATAATTAAGTTAGAAGATATTTTTACCAATTTAGAAACAATAATGTTAAAATAAAGCTCCAAAGTTATTTATTTCGCGGCATTTTACATATTTCAAGTCATTGACTCTGGACCCTGATAATGTGTTTGGAATCTATCCAATGAAAACACGAATATTGTTTCGTACTCCATAATGTTATACACACATTTTCAAAATTCGATCACAAAGCCGAAACAGTTGACGTTTTGTAAACAAAACTCATTTTCAGCCAATCCAAAACATTGTCTCGCACAAAAACGCCCAGTGTCCCGACGACAATTATTTTTGCCAACACTGAGTCACGCGGCTGTGTAATTGATTACAACATAACCATTTGTGTCCATTGGGTACATCCAATCCGTCTTTTAAAAAACCATTTTATCTTACTACATCTGTTCTTTTTCTCATGTATAACCCTGCAGTTTTGCACCGATCATCTGAAAATAATCTGTGTTGTTACGTTCCGGAGTTTGTTTTTCGTACGACAGGCGTCCTCGTTTTCCAATGTTCGTGAGATATCTTTTCCTGCTATGATTTACGGCTCTTTTGTTACACGTTAATTCTTTAACCTGCCTAAATGCCATCATTTACTCTATGAATTAGCAGTGCAATGGATGTCTTCTCAGTAAGAGATGATTCTTCCTGTTTTCAGAACGTACGCTACTGGTCAGGTTAGTTAATATCATCAAAGAAAATGAATAGAAAACCGGATGACATTGTATTTGAATCAAATCAAATAAATCAATCAATCGATTACCTTGACGTTTCGATCATAAACTAAATTAAAAATTAAAATGTTTAAGAATAACTTCTAACATGAGCAGAAGTTGCACCTGCCACCTAAAATTGGGTGTGGTATTGTTAATTCCTGAATCTCTGAAACAAACGTAAAAATACACTGGACAGCTTGGAGCAAAACTTATATAATTATGTGAAGAATTAGAAACATCAAAAATAGCACCAAGGACAAGAAATGAATATCGATTCATATTTATCAAAATGTCATGATAAATATATTTCGCAATAAAATAATCTTCCAAAAGAGAGAGACTGGCAAACCTTGAATTTTTCCTGTGCAAGTCTTTTAAGTATTTACGTCTTAGTTTTACTTATACGATCCAAGTACAGTGAACACACTTGCTGTACTTTCTCTCCGCTGGATTGTAAAGCATGAAAAAACAATCAAGCTTAGGTCGTACATTATAGTATCTATCACACCTTCGACAACAATCAATGGTGAGGACGAAACAGCTGGCTGACACTGGGAAAACGTCGTTTCTATATTTTACGTTGCTCTAAACTCAAGTCCTGACAATCACTATATTTCAGGCAGCTCTGTCACAATCTGACGACAAAGTAAATATGGCTTGATCCTCGAGTTGTGAGAAGATAAATTTCCCTTGACAAAAAGCAGTTTAAAAATATATTTACGGTCATGTTATTGAACGTACCTCGATAGTAATCTGCCAGAAGCGGTGATCCTGAAGTTTTGGTTAGAAACGTCAAGGCAATTCCAAAATAAGCAAAAATCCTTGCGAAAGATGAGGGCATCTCTGTTACTCTAAAATAGAGCTAGCACTGTGCATGTCTAGATTTCTTCTTCTCAAGCCAACACGCTTGGTTAGAACAGGTCCTAACTGAGAGTCGTATTTTATTGTAGAACTCAAGATTGTTCGCTCACCATTTACTCCATGAACACTTTTTAATTATGTGTTCTCTTTGTGGTAGAGAGTTAATGAAACTTTAACCCATTCACAAAAAAACAAAAGTTTTACTTCTGCTACTGAAAAATTAATTTTATTCGAGTGCTTTTATAAAAAGATCGACTGTTTGACATCGCGAATGTCTAACTGTTGTTTAGATTATTAATTTAAGTTTGAGATAAAAGATATTGCATTCCTGGGGTAATTTGAATCGATGTACGTTGTGTTTATGTGAGGCACCCGAAGCGATTATACTTGATGCACGAAACTTTTCATGGATAAAGTAGCTGTATTGGTGACAAAAACATGCTAAGACGATACCACGCAACTCGATCTGTTTTCCACTTTCGCGCAGTATCCAAGTTTGGGAGAAAATACCTTTGATTGGACGAAATGGTTTTTTTTTTTTTTTGCAGGGAATATTTTATTATTTCCCCTGGGAAATAATAAAATTTCAAATTCCCCACCCCTGGGATCAAGACGTAAGCAAATGCGCGGCTATTCCCCAAGGGGGTGGGAATTGACTGATGCATAAGGTTCGGTAGTGTTATCAAGGACTTTCATCACCGTAAAGCCGAATGGCAGTACACAAACGGCTAGTCGGAAAATCGATAGGGTTAGAAAGAACTCATACTTAGAGTAACAAATGGAAAGAGCGTGTATTTTCCTTGCAAACGTTGTGTGCCCACGAAAGTTAGTAATCTGCGATACATGAAACTGGAAACTTGAGTTAGGGCGCCAGTAGTAGTAACTCATTACGACTCCCTCTCGTATCACAAGTTTCTGATGCCAAGTGATTGTTGTCTGAGTTACCACTTTTTGAATTAACGCGTAATCTTTTTTACTCTCAGAGAGTTACAATGCCAGGCCCTGCAACAAAACATATCGTCATTCCTTGCGAAGCAATCTCCATGGACAAACATACATGTGCGTACACTCCCAACGTCATGTGTGTTAACCCCGGCTAGGTGCACCCCACAATTGTAAGGTAGAAAGGCCCCGGATTAACGATTAACACCACCATCAAAATGCACTTCCAATTGTAGTCAAAGATACAAACAGTGACGATAAAATTGAATGACTTTACTATTTGGCTTGAAATTCATAAATACCTTCACTTGGTGACTCTAATAAATAAAGTTAAATGAAAGGAATCCTGATTATCAAACAAACTGACGCCGTTGCGACATAACGATACCATGGCGAAAAAACAAGTAACTGTTCGAAGATGATGTTAACTCCACACTGATATTTGTCGAGCGCAGATTATTAAGTTTTTAACTGTCATTAAATAACATAAATACTAAATTCGCATGACATGACTTTCATGGATTGCGAACCACAGAAGTTCAGTCCTTGTTAAAACGTTGTCATGTTACTTTACCAAAATATTGGTTTGTTTTCTTCATATCATGCTTGTTGATAATTCTTCTCTCGATCTGAAGTTGATAATCATTACATCTACTCCCCCCTTGGGTGAGTACCAGTGCTCTCTGGCTCCCTTGCGCCAGTACCAGGTCATTTGTTACCAGTGGCAGAAGCTTTTCGGACGATTTCGAGGCGCCTGCGGGAGACGGGATGGGAGACCCGCGCGGCGTCCCGTA